TTGCTAACCTAATCGTGGGGCAGGTCTGATTCTGATTCTGACGCCGAATCCCTTCCTCCCAACAACAGCCGGCAACGGATGCCTGAAGGGTCTTGGACATGCTGCAGTTGCGAACAGGATAACAATGCCGAAATGTGCGGGACAGATGACGAGGGCACCATGAAGTGCTCTAATGGCTGCGAGCACATGAAGTGCAGTTCCTGCACTGATATTACATGAAGCGATGCGTGTAGAATCAGATGTGGCGGTTGACTTCCTTCCCTGTTGGGACATTCCCACCATGAGTGATTTCCAACTATTCCTGATCAAGATATTTAAATCTAAGGCTTTGATAAGCAGGAATATATATATTGCATGTAGCTGAACCGACGTCTGCCTCATGAAAATGTTGCCTTACTCCACCCAGCTCACGTCACTATTCGCTTCTCTCAACTCGCACTTTCCCCAGAGGACCGACTGCCTGCTCACCTTATAGAGTGATTCGGATTCAGATCTGATAACTGCGCTATCGGACTTGCCCTGGGTCCAACTGGCTCAACTGGTCAACTGACCAGAAGTGTGAGTGGCTGCCAGGGATCACAGCTTCGGAGCCCAGTTTAGACACTTTTTTTTTTTTTTTTTTTTGGGGGGGGGGGGGAGCCATCCTCCGAAACCCCTCGATTGACACTTCTTTCACTGGTATGTCTATGGGCGGCGGGGAAATAAAGCATGAGGGTTATTCTGTACTAGATTAAGTATTACACAAAACGGATCTGAGCATGGAGTGGCCGGTGCCGCGTATTCCAAAGCAGACGCTCGTCAAAGTATGTTCATCGAACAACCAACGCCAACTCATGTCTTACTGGGTATCTCGGATATGTGCTCAACGTGCGCTTGGCCTCACTTCTTGCATCTCAACCTGCGAGGCTGGTTGGTTCGGGTCCCGGAGTCCGTATCGTTCTCTCAGGACCTGCACCACAGGTCCCATCTCGTAATCGCTCACCATGCTATCGTGTACAGCGCACGGCGAGCCATGTATCGGAAGAAGCCAGTCGATCAGGCTGTAACCCATTACAGACGTCCAATTTCCCCTCCAGCCCAGGTCCCAGGGGTTTTCGTCGGGGTCGGTGCTGACAATAGCGAACACTCGGGTTGCCAGGCGATCTCTAGGCGTATCACTGTCAACAGTGGCATCTGATGATTCATGTGCTCCCTGAGGATACTTTGGCAGAGGATATGTGACGATACCATATCCATTGCCGGGGCCCGTGTCGTTGGGGACTCGGATTGCGAGTTGATGCACCCAGGACTTGCGGAGCGCGTCAATGTTAGTAATGTTCAGCAAAATGAACCTCCACGACGTTGCGGTCATGAGGAATGTAAAGATGCCAAAGAATCCGGCAATTGCAACACCAGATATTGTCCGGCCGTCAGCTCCGCCCTCCCGCACTTGTCTCGACAAACAATAGGCCGCGGTCGCTAGTGAGATTGTACAGTAGAGGGTGCAGTAAAAGGTGAATTGGGCGAAGAACTTGAAGGCTGTGCATGGTCAGCATCACCGTCACCAACAAAGGGATTCATCACTGACAGGTTTCTGACACCATGCCACCAACCCAAGGGCAATAATGGTCCATTTTTCGAACGCATCGCTCGATTTCGCTAGAGTGATGGGCGCGATCGGGTTTCCAAGTGCGACATTCCGAGCACCATTTGGGACGCCCATCGTTTTCACACACAAAGACATCTCTGCTGTAAAAGTCTTCCAAGCCGGGGCTATCCGGGTTTTGGTCGGGACCAGTGAAGTACGGTTGGCTCTCCAAGTCTCCGTCCTTCTTCCGCCTCCGTTTCGAGTTGGAATCGGGCAACTGCGCCTGAGGACCCAGCGGGACCAGGCCGGGGTCTTCTTTGATCTTGAGAAAGGTTCGAAGGTATGTTGCAATCGTTAAGAGGTAGAAGAAGAGGTATATCGTGATTGTCGCGATGGCGGTACCGTGTTCATGTCTAGTCCTGTACAAGTAGTCGACTGCGGAGCAGAGTGGTTAATAACTGGAAAATGAAGCAAGGGAGAGCTAGACCAACCTCCCAAGTACGCAATAATCACGTAGGTGGCATAGCCGCTGGTGCTGGTAATGATGATTGGGATGAATCGCGTCACCCATCGCGAAGCGCACTTTGTGCTTGTGGCGGCCGACATGGCGGTTGCGCATTCATTGCCGGACCATTGAGGTTCTGTTTCCAAGTTGGTGACGAGTAAGGTGTACGAATGAGGGTTCGGTCGGCGCATCGACGGCGGACTTGCGGCCGCGTCAAGTTTGCGCGGGCAATCGGGTTTGTCGTCACCAGACAAGTTTGGCTGGGAGGCCGCAGTGCCATGCATCTGGCGGGACGACAGCCGAGCAAGCGTCTAGGCGAGCAGGGGTGTCGGTGTCCACAGGTAGACAGACGCTGAAGCGGGTACTGCTCCGCCGTCCGGTCCGCGCAAGACCCGTTGTAATTTCCACAGGGCTGGCGTACTGTTCAGATTCTTTTGCAACAGCGATCCATTCACACATGGTGGCATGCAACGGCAAGACGCGCTGCAGAAGAATGCCGCAACAACGCCTGCCAAAGTGGAACATACTCAGCCCTATCACCTCACCCACCCACCTAGGTACCTCATTAATTACAGTGTACTTTCCTTCTACGAATAGGGACATCGCGTGTTCTCTTCGCAACTTTATTGTCTCGTTACTGCCTCTCGGGCAACACTTTTCGCGTACCAACCTCCGTCTCTGTCACACCCGACCTACTTGGGCAATTGAACCGGAAACACTGCCTTTCCATCACTCATCGATCGTCGTCATTTACACCCACCTGTTCATGCGAATCATCTTGCTTTCGGTGTATGTCTCGTCTACACACTTCGCCATTGGGAGCCCCCTGAAACTGCTACTTTTCTCTCTTCCTCTTCCCCTCGCTACATCGAATGGCAGGCCTTCCCTTTCCCCCGGACGGTCCAGGTATTGAAATCCGGCAAACCCTCGTTTGCAGAGATTGATGGCCGGCAGCGAATCACGATGATTGTTTACAAACGCGCGTCAAACATTGCAACAGAGCGTGGCCTGAGGTCCGTCTTGCTGCCCAGCAAAGTTGGGCGTCAACTAAAGTAGCTTTGCGAGTGTTTACGTTGCTGTAATCAGCGATGTCGCCAACTTGAATTGGGCATGGTGGTCACAGGACTTCGATTCGCGGCGCACTTCACAACCGGCGCTCTTATTACCGCATTCACTTCAGCTCTCATCTAGGCATCCACGGTGACCCCGACTGATATACGAGCCATCAACGCCTATTGCAGACCTCTCTCAGGACTGTTTCAGCAGCTCTGGTTAAATAGAAGTATACTGTCAATATGCTGGTTCTATGTCGAGATTTACTATCGGTCGAGATGCAGCACACCACCTTTCGGTGAACTCCCAGGCACACATTTCCTACATCAAGCTTCACAAACCCTGTGTATCACACCTATAATACGACTTTTTCGACTTTACACAGATGTGTGGGCTCACCAGCCCCACAACTGTTCTCTCAAAGACATCTTCTCTCCTTCCAGCCGTGATTCATCAACCATGCGCTCGGTCATTCGCTACTCAAGGCGCCTGCGTGCCTCAGAAGCCGCACAGCTTGCTTCACATCCTTGCTTGACAATTTTGAACGATGACAGGAGGAGCTGCGGAGGAGCCGCAAACGTTTAGTGAGGTAACACCAAGACCATCTTGTCGTCTCTCAGTGGTTCTGACCTGCGGCTCTAAGGCCTGTACAGTAAGCCAGACAGCCAGCCACCGCCAGAACGGCATGACCAGATGGGTCCATTCACAGTGGATCTCTGCTATACTTCAGCCGAGGCTCTTTCGAGCGAGTACTTTTGTTAGTTTTGCAAGTTTGCAGCCTCCTAAGGCCTCTATTCCTAAGTCGTCAGCTGGTCAGTCTCGCAGGGCTTCAATGCGAGAGCCTTTTGATCACGGCTGCTGCAGGGATGCCCTAGCTTGCTGGCCTGAAGTGTAAGGTGGTGTGGTGTTGAGCCTCAACATCGAGTATATAACGGCACATCCTCTCTCAATGTCTTCTCAACGGCAACCCGAATCTCAGTCACAAATCGCCTAAAGCAAACCGACCGACCGATCCGCCGATCCGCCGACTGAATCGACGAAAAGTCTTGTCGATTAATGGACTTACAGTGTGCCTTTGTGTGGCATTCATCACCAGCCGACGACCAGACGGTGAAGAATCAAGATGAACAGGAGAGTAGCTGCCGATTCTCAATACGTCGAGACCGTCGACGACCACCAACGCATCAACAATTCAGATTCCAACGATGCTGTGCTCGTTATCAGAGATATCGGAACCCATCAAAGCCATATATGCTCATTCAGCTTCCAACCTTGCATCCGACCCTCCTTACCCCTTTATCGATCTTCTCGAACGACAGTTCTGCTACACATAAGGGCGGACACTTTTGGAGCAGGGAGTATCTCACCTCCGCTTTGTTCCTATCGTCGACATTATCCTTATTTTTTCCCCATCCTACTCATCATGTTTACCACCCTTTCCTTCCCCCCTTCTAACTTTATACTTTCGTATAGCAGTGTGATGTCGCTGCCGTCGTATGATCCTGAACGGCGAGCCTCTACATTACGACAAAACACCCCCGGCTTTCACATTCCTCGACAAGTTGGATCGTCAATGTACTGCATTGCCATCGGTCAGCCGAGATTCAACCACACCGAGATATCAACAACAATAACCCCAATGTCAATCAACTGTGGCCAAGAGCCGATCACCGGGATGTTCAGTGGTCACGTGATGGGATGTATGAAGAAGGCGGGGTTCAGCTGCATGCTTACACTGTCCCAAGACTTGGGACATGGGGTCCGACAGTGAGACCAGAGCCTGCTTCGTTATCCTTTCTGATGGGAAGGTACTGCTGCCTGCAAGTTGATGCGGGTCTAGCCAAAAGAGCGAGAAAGACCTTCAAGCTTTCGTCAATGTCAACACATGCAACTCACATCCCCGTTCTCGACCATGCACGCCTGCAGGGAGACAGAGACACAAGATCGGGCCCGGGTTGGTGGAATGTACGACCGCAACAGCCGTATGAGTCGACTTTGTCGCGGGTTGCAGTGTGCCACAGAGCTAAACTCAGCCGAAGAGATTCCTTTGCGGCTCTGCGCTGCCCAACACTCGAAGACAAGCCCGCCTTCCATGGTTACTGGTGGAGTCCGGTTGCCTAGTTGTCGGTGTACAGGACTTTGGGAACCCTTGGGAACCAAGGCGGCTGCGCTTCGCCAAAGAGGACTCTCCCAATGCCAGCCTTCAAAGTACCAAATAGGCATAATTAATCCGCACCAACCCGAAATAAGCCGCAGAGCCTCCTTCTTGGTGTGTGGTAATCCCTGAGCCTCCTGGTTGCCAACTCCTCACCAAGAACTGGCAATGCAGCCAGACAACAGACCTGCCCCCACCGCCAATTCGCGCGCAGAGCCGCAATCAAGGTCTTTCGCCTCGTCCCTTGCTATTTTCCCGTCCTCGCTCTCCGGTCCTTTTTTTCTTCGCACCCTGCTGTTCGCCTCTCATTCGGCCATCCTTCTCCGTAGCTTCGGCAACCAGAGAGTCATCTGGCCCCATGCCCTGTGGATGAACTCGGCTAGTTTGTCTTGAGCTAACTGTTCCACAGGGACTGCAGCATGCCATATCTGCCTAGGCGGACCGTAGCATCGGCCTTGACGGCCCTGGCTCTCAAGGCGCAAAACGCGCAGGGCCATGACGAGCGAGGCTCCTTGCCAATGAATCGCGCAGAGACGTTCCAATCGAGAGGCGCAAACCTCAAGCCTGGGCACGACGCGGGGGTGGATGTCTTGCTCCATCCTGTCTTGAACTATGAATCCTTGATATTGGACGAGGATGCCTTTCCGCAGCAGCTACCGACACCGATTCACAAAAGGGACCCCACCGAGCAAGGACTCATTCACATCTTCGGCGAGACCGCCTAAGGCATCGCGTGAAAAGGCGTCTAGTGGTCGCCGTATGTGGCTGATAGCTTCGGTTGTCTGTAATTACATCGCCTTACAATGTCAATGACACTTGGCCTCGAATTCATATGGGAGCCCGCGAGAAGTCTCGAATCTACCTCTGGGAGGATATGTATAAGAAGATAGAGCTTGCTGCTGTTGTGGCCTGAAGTTTTGGATTATCATCGACCTCCAGATTCTATTGTCACTCCTCACAGAGCTTTGAAGATCTCAATCACCCCCCGATACTACTCCATCTTCACTACTGGCTCCCAGTGTTTCGTCTCTTCTACTCCAACATGCCTTCAGCATCTTCTCACAAGCATTCTTCAAAGTCTTCTTCCAAGAAGTACGAGTACCAATGGGTCTGGACATGCGTAAGTGGAAGCCCGATCCCGAATAATGTTTTATCAATGCTCATGATTCTTAGTGCCAATGTGGTGATTCGGGCATGAGTTGCAACTCGACTCCGGGTTGCCCCAACTGTAACATCTTCCGCTGCGCAAACTGTCCTCTGCAGCAGGTCAAGGTCAGGGTCGCCTAAGAGCTTCCTCGATCATGAACCATGTTACTACCTCGCCGCTTTGCACTTGAGGAGTGGTCGACGAAGAGAATCGTCTGATGCAGCTCTGACAAGTCAAATCTCGACCCAATTGCCATGTGTCGAAGAGCGGGATTAGACGGAACTTGCGAAGACTCATTGGTCAATTGGACCAATCGAAGTGGCCGAGGTGGACTCTTGCCACTCGGGGGTTTTGTGAGCATACGAATGGGGGGTTTGATCTTTTGGAGTTATGATCTGCATGTACCTACCTTTTTTCTCACGGGGAACTGTGTCATTGATGATTTTTTCTTTTCTTTTGGCAACGTTTCTTAGCTGTCGGATGATTCAAGATGGGGACATGCTCGCGGTTTCCTGTTGATGGACTGGCTCACATCTAGACTTCTTGGCGCGGTTCTGGTATCACTTTTCCTTTTCCATCCATGTCTGTCCGGGTCTGGGGTCATGTCTACAGGTTAGATGTCTCACGACACACTCTCTACAATAGATCTCACTCCCTTGTTTCCAGCCACAATTCTATATTCCGAAGGCTCCCCTGAAGTTTGTGCGATGTGAGCGAACGTTGAGAACCTCGAGTCAGCCTTAAATGACGTCGACGTGAGATGCGAATGGGTTTGTCCGAGGGGCTTCTTCGTCCAAAGATGAAGATAAGAGCGCATCTTAATAGATCTCGTGCTACAGTAATCCTTGGCAAGAAGACACGCCTCTTTTCTGTCGCTGAGTTCAGCCTGAGGAAGAAGTCTCAGACAGTTTGCATCGCCTCTGGTGCCCCCGGTGCCTCGTTCGTGAAACCAACCTCATTTTCAAGCCACAGCCAGCGCCACCTCGACCTGAAGAGCTATCGCGAGAAGTGAAGCCCACGGCTGAGGACAGCAGCAGCAGCATCCCGATTTCTCACGGCCATGGTGTTGTTGCACCGGTACTTTTAAAGTGCAGTCACTTCAAGCTCTCTCGCATTGCATATTGAGTCATAGGCCCCACGTAACCGCATGAAGCGAAATGCAACCCACAGAAACCAAAAGGACCGCGCCTACCCGCAAAGAGACCAACATCTCTCTGACATTTTGAGACGTGCGATTGGGTGTCGCCGTTTTTAGAGCACGCATAGTCCTTTTAAGGGTGTGATCAAGCGCCGCGGGGTCGGTAGTCTCACGCACAAGAAGTTTTCGAGGGTGCTTCGAAAAGACCCCCGCCAGGCACCAGAATCAGAAGTGCACACACTAGAAGGAGGTGTGAAAGGACCGGTCCAAGGTCTCGGTGCCGGAGACACACGAGGCGGGGCGGGGCGGGCTGGAAGATCGCGGAGCTGACACCGATACCTGAGGTACACACACCGGAGGCACTGCCTCTCGCCCTGTCACGAACTGCAAAAGAAAAGCTCACACACGTATTCTTGTCGTAGAGTCTCAGACAGTTGCGGTAGTAGACAGGGCATTGACAAGTTCAACTTGGGAATTGGTGCTGAAATTGCGTGAAGCGCAGTTGCGCGATTCGATATATACGTTATTGTAGGGAATTGTTACTTACCGAACCGGAACCGGCTCCGCCCTGTGCTGGGATTGTGCCTCAACGACAATGCCCAAGTGCGCAATGACACCAAATACCATATCGCGAAAGGTTTTGTACGCCATTAGGCGTTCTCTGGGGATCCCACGGGAGTTATAAGAAAGCTGTGATATCCAGAGTTGTTGAAGTTTCCGAACAAGATCACATCATCCTCATCATCGACTTACTTCAGATACCACCAACTCCTCTCAGCTTCAAGCAGCAGCAACTCGAGCAAAGACCTTTCTCTCATTCTCAATTTACCTTCGACCTTCATCAAACACTCAAATCAGTCAAGATGCCCAGCCACAGCCACAAGCACTCCTCTTCCTCCAGCCGTGGAACCGGCGGCAGCAGCAAGCGATCCAGCAAGCCCGCGGTGACCTACACTTGGGTTTGGTACTGCAGCAACTGCAGCACTGGTCCCTTGAACGCTTCCACAGACTCAGCTTGCCCAAGCTGCCAGCACTGGCGCTGTGAATACTGCAGCATGCAGCAGGTTGCTCTGCCAGCCAACCGATAAATGCCATCTCGACACATGGATAGCTGCTCGGCCGAGTCAATGGGACAGCCAGCAGAGTGAGCTCAAGCTTGGCCGCCCATCACTTCTGGCCCGCCAACTTCCGCAAACAACTCCGCCCATGGCACGGCGGACCGAGCATCATCATCTCAAGACAACATCGCTCGGTGTAGAACCAGCACTGCCGCCACCACCCCAGTCGCCTTCACTCAAGCTCACGACTAGCGGTGAATAGCAGGTGGTCCGCATCCGGAGAGCAAACGCAAGGAAATAGTTGAGCAAGGGAAAAGAACGACTGCTCAGCCACGGATGAGATTATGTAACTTTACGAAACAACCAGCAACAGTTCTCTTGGTAGGGGACCGCCATCATCGACAGTTTCTTTTGTTTGTGGAGTTCGGGATAGAAGGATAGACAGGGTTGTTTTTCTTGGATAGCAGATAGAATACAATGTCATTTCCCTTACAATTCAAAAAATTCGGTATCTTGGTGACGTTCGTGACGCATCGCCGTCCGCAGCACGCGAATTGGACCTCAGTCCAAGAGGATGTGACGTCGATACACCGTACCTTTCGCCCACGGCGTGGGTCCGTTGCGGGAAGCCTACTTAGTCCATAACGCTAAGGTAAATCTGGGAAACGCGCCACTGCGCAACGCTGAGATCCACTTGGAATTTCGCGTTAGAGGAATGAAAGATGCCTTGCTTACCCGTTTTCTGACACTATCGTGGGCAGAATTGCGCAGGGCGAGCGCGCGAAGCTTTCGGTTTGTTTGCTGTCGTCGGTCAGGAGTAGCAGAGGAAAAAGAAGGGTGATGTGAAATCCCTGAACACGAAGATGGCGGGGTCTTTTGGGAAGTGGTGGGGTAAGCTTCTGATTGGACGGACATTGAATGAGGCTCAAGTAGATAAGATAAAGCACGTATCTGGGTACCTGAGTGCGCTTCACGCAGAGCCTCCCCAAGCCCACTTACGTAATGGAGGGCGCTACAAAGTACTGTGCCGCGCGCCTTGCCTAACCGTTCTAACGCGCATCCTCGTCGAATCATCACCAGCCAACCAGCTCCGCCTCCCCTCCAGTTGCTTTCCTTCGAGGCAAAGGCCCAACCCGACAGTCTGTTTCCAATACCCACCATCCTTGGCTCATTAAAGTGCACTGGGTGCTATGGATGCAACGCCTCAGAGCACCTTTTAAATTCAACGCATCCGTGCCTCTTGTCAGGAAATCAAGCTGCTGCAAGGGCCCCATGGCGCGCCCTACCCATTTCAACTGGACGTTGTTGGGGCACAGACTCGGCGGACTTGGAACCAACCAACCAGATCACACCCAGCGGTCCTTTCATAGAAGAACCAAGTGACACTAAAACATTTCTGCCTCTGTGCCTCTCTCACTCGGTCTCGCTCAAGGCATACAATCTATTACATCATCATCTCGGCCCGTATTGTCTCAAGTAATAATCCATTTGCTCGAACCACACAAACGGGCAACATAGATTGGTTGCCGCTCTACCTTGGAAACCCGGGACAGAGATGCGCAGCAAGTTCCCTGGCATGAAGTCGTCGTCAGGTGATGAGCACATCAATCAGGCAAGCTTCTAGAAGCACCGCCACGCTTCAGCAACGTCCAGTATCAATTGTTTCAGGCGGTGAAAGACCAGACAAAGGCTCCGTCCGGGGTGCTAACAAAAGTCCCTTTTCCGGTCGGTGACGGATCCACGTTCAGCGATTCTCGGTCAGACGAATGGCTCAGAGTACGCCGCCTCAGAACTGACGCCTCGAAAGGCATCAAGTCATCAATCAGCGCTTGCCGCCTTATAATTTACCCTTCGGTGAGCTCACGGTGAGCCACAAACCCTGCGCTGCTGAGACCGAAACTCGATGCAAAATAACCACTTCATCATCAAACATGTGTGCTTTATGTATTCAGAGCGTCGACGATAACCGCCGCCGGAGAGACCCTTGCCAATCGGAAATGATGCAGTAGAAAAAATATGCCCAGACCTGTCTCTGCTGCCACCGCAAAAAAAATACTATCAAAAACATGACCCGGCACTGGCCAAGTGGCCCGATCGTACGTATGCAGCGAGATGGAGAAAATGCCTTCTGCTCCGCGAGTGACAAGCTGATGCTGTTGCCTCCCGCCACCCCTTCATCAACCCTTTCGTCGTCGTCCCCATGTCCGTCCATACCATAATATACAAGTCCCCGTTCGCCTGTTGAGAGACCGAAAACACCTGCGAACGCCAAACATATCCGGACCGCCCTCGTTTGTCGACGTCAGAACTCGATTAAATGATTAAGCACTGGCCGTGCACAAGCTACAGCTCATCCGCCACGCTCCCTCTTCTAGTCCTGTC